ATGATATAAATTAACAGAATTCAAATTTGAAATATATGCAAGGAAAATTAGTTAGTGGCATTGAGCACTAGGTAAGTTTTGCTTTGAATCTTTGCAGGGCTTTAGCACTTTCAAGGGTAGATGGGAATTGATTAAACAGAGGAGCTGCTGCACCCCTACCCCCTCCTGCATAGTTTTAATTTTGTACTTAGGACATCTTATTGGGCGTTGCAAGAAAGTTGCGATTTATTGCAAGTTGCAAAATTAGCAACTGATATTTGCAATTGATTGCAAGTCAACTTTCTTGCAACGCCCCACTAGTCTCCTAAATTTCCGAGGATTTTGTTAGGATTAAAGTTTTAACTATTAAATTAAGTTAACTAGAACTAGCTTTTATTCTACCCGTTTCTCTCTCTCTCTCTCTCTCTCTCTCTCTCTCTCTCTCTTACTAATGTGGCGTTGCAAGAAAGTTGAGTTGCAATCAATTTAAAATTTGTAATTAATCGCAAGACTTAGGCTTGATTTTGGGGATGTGCAATTGATTGCACTTTCTCGCAATGCCCCATAAGAAAGACAAATAAAATGGGAGACAAAATAAACAAAGATAGAAAGAAAAAGGAAAGGGAGAGGGATGGAGGAACTGATTTAAATATAATTGTTTGGACTTTAGGCTAGTGCCTGTGTATTTCTTGGGTTTGGTCCAAGACTTACAGCTTTGCTTGGGCTTCAAACTTGTTTTTGAAAACAGGCTACCGTTAACTACTTCATGTGGGAGGGGACATAACGGAACAAGGAAAGTTAAATTGAAAAGCATCATAGTCCCAAGTCTCATGACCTATTCTTGAATGTATTGTCTGAGCGCCTAAAGAACATTAATTCTGTATACTTGTCCTACTTTGAATGTCATGCATTTGAAAGTGTTAATAATAATACAGGACATGTAAAACCAGAAACACACCACAGAAATGTTGCGATTTGCAATTGTTCTTGCTTGGTGATATAATATAACTTAATTATGAAGAGTTAAGTGCATCTGTCAATGAACATTTGAAGGAAGTGGTAAAAAAAATTGAACTACTTACTGTCTAAACTGCACTCTTTACAAATGAAAGATTTAAAATGAGATTAAATGTTTTCTGCAGATAGCCAATAGGGCATTAGCTCTGTGGTCGCATAATATTGACACAATTTCCTTTTGGCACTTGGCACGTGATATTGATTATTTCATTTTTCATTTCATTTTGTATTTATTTCTTAAACCATGATAACGAAACATTATACAAATATAATGTAACATATATATATATACATATAAATATAAATCATATATATATAAATCTGATGGGATAAAAATGATAAAATTGCATTAAACGATAAAGTAACACATAGAAATAATGGTGAAGGAAATATGGAGGGGTAAATAATGTTATTTTAGTACAATAAAAATGGTTTGCGAGGCATACCTACAAAGGCCTAGAGGCCAGTGCGCAAGGTAGCCATCACTTCAATTTTTTCTTCACCTCTCGTTCACCACAAATGCAGTTTTGCACAAAACAATAGGCACAATTGATGGAAGGATTGCTTTGTGCAACACATTGACTTTGCAAATATAAAATTACCCAGTTTTGGTCTTGATTAGGTCCATGACAAAACTTTTAACACTGGTTGAGATGAATCTTTGCCCTGGAAACGATTGAATAATCCTGAAGCCATTGCTATATCCATCCCATGACACATACAACGTGGCACAGGGAGATTATTTGTGTGGCATTTTAAGAGTTCAGAGCCAAAAGGCCATTATATCTTTACTATATATAGGAGGTAATGCTCTTTTGACTCTCAGCTGGTGATAGTTCATTTATTTTGTCTCATAAGGAAAGAGGTTTGGATGAAGTAGCTGAAAGGGAGGTAGCACGAGGCTACATAACGGTAGGGTCGATTGCAAATTCTTGGCATAGCTACAAGGGCCTACATGTTCATTTCAACATCTTCCATATTCCCCCTTATTTTCCTTGTTGCAGTAGCTTTACTAGATAGATAGTTGGGTTTGCATGTAGGTTGCATGTAGATTGCATGTAGATTGCATGTAGGTTGCATGTAGGTTGCATTCCAAAGACCAGGTTGACCGCTGTTTCCCCCTCACCGTGTATACTTCACCACATGTGCTTTGTTGAAGAAGCAGATACTTGCAGCATCTCATCTTCTTCTATTACTTTGATCATCTCTCCTTCCATCGCTGTCTCGATACCAATATACTCACTGATGGATCAGACTGTATCATCAAGAAGTTTGATCCAAGCCCAAATGATCGGTGTAAAGCATCTGCAGACACTTAGAGGACGGGGAGGACAGACAGGGTGGCCGAATTATTTCAACCCCAAACTGTATTATGGGCACCAAATCCTACCCAAGAATAATAATAATAATACTAGTATTCCGCTTATATAGCGCCCAATACATCAATACAACGATGTGTCTATAAACCGCTTTACAGATATATTATTACCCCGGTCATTGGATTCAGGCTTACCAGCACAAAATGTATGCACATTCTCCACTCCCTGGGGAGCATTCCGGCCAGTCGCCATTGTACAAGCGCACACTTGCTCATCCAACCACATTAACTTTCGTATCCTACCCGGTACCAATTTAACACCTGGGTGGAGAGTGGCAAATGTAGATTAACGTCTCGCCAAAGGAAATTAGTGCTGCAGTGGGACTCACACCCTGTACCTTGTGATCTGCAGTCGGGTCACTTATCCACTAGACCACAACACCTCTACAGAATCTGAGTGTTAAACAACTTGTAAATTTCTAAAGAATAAACATGAATAAAAGGTAGGGCATCTTGCACTTTTGATGCATTAATTATTTATTGATGAACTGTGTTATTTATACACAAGTGTAATATTCGTCTTTTATTTGTATGATATTCATACCTTTCATTCATTCCTTATGTCTTACTTATTTGCATCTTGGATAAATCATGCTAATGCATGTTATAGCTGAAGACATCAACTTGTGGGAGTAGTGAGGTAAATGACTCTTTTTGAGAAGAGCCCCACCTGTTGTCCAAACTGTGAAGAGCTTCACTCTGTGGAAGTGAATCAGAGTGTGTTTAGCTGCAATGAATTCAAAAGTCGAGCAAGTCAAGATTGGATGAGAGAGAGAGAGAGAAAGGGAGAACAGCAGATATAGAAGGAAAGAGAGAGAGGGAAAGAGAGAGAGAGAGAGATAGAGAGAGAGAAAGGAGAGAGAGAGAGAGAGAGGGGGGGGGGGTGGTAGGGGTGGGGAGAAAGGGGACAAGTTTGAAAGAAAGTGAGATCATGCCAGAAGTGAGAGGTAGATAAAGGAACTTACATACAAAAAGATAGAGGGGTTTGAAATTCATATATGAGAGAAAAATAGTCACAAATTCTAGAAAGATTTTTTAGTTGAAAAAACAACAACCCACTTCTTTAAATATGTATGATGTTGATATGTACATGTATTTCAGCTATTGAATTGGATTACTATTTTAAGATGTAAACATTCTGTTAAACTTTCAGATATTCTTAGTGATGGTTCATAACGATTTCCATGGAAAAAAAAGCCAATTCAATTTAATTTAGAGAACTATTTTATATTATCTTCTAGAAGCTGGATCATTTGTTAGGTATCTTAGCGGAATGCAGTGGTACAAAAAGATGTGTCTGGAATGCAAAATACATAATAGTTAATCATGTTTTTTCATTTATCTTTAATGAAAGTTTCACTAACACTAAGGTAATATAAAGTTTTGGTATGGGGTCATGAATTTGGTTCAAATGAAAATATTGGAAGCGTATGCAATCCTACAATATACAGTGATCGTTGTCGCGGTTGAAATCTAAGGTGATGTAATTGTGAATAATAAACTTTTTATGTTGTGTAGCTCCCTCTCAAGATCGATTTTACTTTAGCTTCAAAACAATGTTTCTTGACTTAAATTATATAACAAAACTGCATATTCCAAAATTTTTATGGTCACAGCTACCATTGTTTGGCCGTAGGTCCCATTTGAAATTTCTTAAAATCCTTAGTGTTTTAAAGCTCAATTTTTTCAAAGTTGCTCATTCTAACACTAGGTTTAACAATGGAAATGCAAATTTTAAATTTAATAATCCTATCCTGTTGAAATATTACCAAAACTTTGTATCACCTTCAAGCCTAATCAAGATGGTATACGCATTTGCCAGCTCCATTTCCTAACGGTGTGGATCTACCCGTGTGTAATGAAATCATGATTTTTAATAATTATGCATTTGGCTTTCTGGACGTGTCTTACCGTGCCACTTATATTGCTCTGCTATATAAGGGACTTTTGTTTGTTCCTTTTCACTTAAGAGGAGAAAAAAGGCAATATATCCCTTAGTCTGTTAAGTGGAAAGTGAGGATTTTCATACATCTTGCATTAATTTCTAACTTCCATTTCTCCAAGCTGATTGGCTGTTTTAGTCCTCCACAACTTTAACAAGGTTATACAACCTTTTTCAGAAACTAGCACACAGTTGATTTATTAAAACAAAATTATGCATGGAAAGATGTCTGATTTGCTGTAAAAAACACAGTAATTGTTGTGAGCAAACCTGTTAAATCAGTTAAATTTCATGTGAATTGTTGGATAAGAGCGTTCGTCATATAAAGAATCCCCTCATAGTTTCTTTACGTTTCGTTATGACGTTCAGACTACATCAGGACCTTGATTGTTTATTGAGATTTTGTTTGAAAGGATGCTCACACTTGCATTTCACTATACAATGTTTCTTTATACGTTTCTTTTACGGTTCGTTATGACGTTCTGACTACATCAGGACTCTGATTGTTTATTGAGTTTTTGTTTCGAAACGCCGCTCAAACTTGCCTCTAACTATACAATGTTTCTTTATATAACGTTCAAATAAGAAAAAAGTTAATTACTCTGAATTTGAAAAAAAGAAACATTTGTCAAGTGAGGGTTACCTAAGAGATTTAACCCCAAATTACTATCTTTCTAAATGCAGGATTCAGAAGGAGACACGCCCCTGCATGATGCGATCAGTAAGAAACGAGACGACATCCTCTCTCTTTTGTTAGACCATAACGCTGACATCTGTGTGACCAACAACAATGGCTTCAATGCTCTCCATCATGCTGCTCTCCGAGGAAATCCAAGGTGGGTCTTTCTTTGCTTCTTACCACTCCCTGACCATAGACTATTTTCAAAATATACCGGTACTCAAATTTATACATATTTTATCTAGCAATGAGCTACTACATTGACCTGTTATATATCATTGTATCTCAATAGTTGAATGCAAATTACTGTATATGCTGGCCTTAATGCCGCAGCGCCGTATAGGCTGCACCCCTGATTTTGACATTTCTTAGACCCCCAAAACCCCCCCAAAAAACGTATGGAAAAATCGGGGGAAAAGGTGCAATGCTACGGGACCAAACAAAATCATTGTTATTTTCTCTTAGAAACTCTTTTTTCTTCAAACTGTTACCAAATTCATCAATATTCTTATAGAATTTAAAGGTAAAAAACTAAGTTTAAAGTTGTATTAACCTCAAAAATGATTGTGATTTAGCAAAACTTCGTCAATTTTGAAGCTAGTACTGTATCGCAGACAGTTTTGGTATCCGATATAAACCCCTACCTACCACAATGCAATGCGATATTGCCTAAAATGGATATGAAGAAAATAGACTTTGTGCACACAGCGGATGCGATGCGCAGTTGTGTTACGCGGTAGCTCCGTTACGGTCCCTACTTTACTGATGCGATGGCACAAACTTAGATTTAGATCTACCGGTATATTTTGTTTAATAAATAAGTTATGAACTTTATTCACGAGATTGACAAAGCTTCATGTCAACAGTGTGTCACAAAATTGTAGGTAAGATGTGTAAGTTATTCTAGAAATGTCCTGTACCATTGTACATTAAATTTGATTTCGATAAGAAAATGGTCTATTTGATATGTAGAACTAGAGCTGGGATCAGACCATAAGACACATGAAAAAATGACACCTGTGATGTTGATGCTGTTTAATTAATAATGGTTTATTAGATCTACACTGTGTGATAAGGTATGGGACAGCAAATGACCACATACTCGGGACTTAATTTGCCCATTAGTTTCTATCATTCCTAAATGGGGCGTATAGAGTGCACTGTATCTTCCATGTATATACATGTAGAAATAGAAATAGAGTGTTTTTGTTTTCTGAAAAAGACCCTGCAGACCTTCTGAGTCAACCTAACATGTTATTCAACACACACATTGTGAGAGAAGTTAAAACCTTGTCTTGAGTTTATGTGATAGAACTGTATTTCATAAGAACCTTGTTAAAAATAATGCAGAATTGTTTATCTCTTGGTTGATTTGGGGATTAATCAGAAAAGTGTAAGCAAACTAAGGTAGCTTTTAATAGCAAAATGTAGTGGCACAAAAAAAGACGTGTCTAGAACGCAAACTGCATAATTGTTAAAAATCATAATTTTATCATACAGAACCATATCATAAGGATATGGATGTTAGCTGTTAATGTTAGCTAAACTTTTATTCAGATATTAGAAGAAAAAAAACCTTTTTATAGACTGCTTAACCAACATATATTTAAACTTGATGCATATTCTTTAAACAATGGTTGTTTTTGATGACATGAAAGCTTGCCCAACATAGCAGCATGGAATATATGCAGACTGATGGAATAAATCGTCACTAGGTCCCAGGAAAGAAACATCCATAAATTGGAATATATATATTAGTAAACCGTTCCATTATTAAACATCAATAACTACTATGGGTATCTCAAATTTCTGATATAGTCACATGACCCTAGTCAATTTGACCATTCAGTGTCCACTTGTTTATCCAAATAAAATTCCCCTTGATTCTGTACCTAGCATATAAGTTATTGTTAGCTTTTAATATATTTCCTTCAAAAGGTCTTCTCAGTTGGAGAATTGAGGAATAATATGTTTAGAAATCTTCTTCATAAAATCTACTCTAAAATCTCTTGTAGGCACTATTATTTTTGTCTTCCCTTATCTTTGCCCATGTGCATTTTTTAAATAAAAACAATAAAAGAAAAAACATTTTCATTTAATACAACCAATATGAAAAAAAATATTTGCATACATCGTTCCAAAAGAATGCTTCAACATGAGCCATCTTGAAGTAAGTCATCTTGTAGGCATTATTGTTAAGAAAACTTGTTACTGTTAGGCTTTAGAATACTATGATAAAAATAATGTCAATCTTATTCAAATAAAAGTCATTGGTATTCAAATAAAAAGAGTTCTACAAGAGAATACAGCTCTTTTGATAGCAGTGAATGTTGCAAGATTCCGCTTCAGACTCTTAAGAAGGTCGAGATTTAGGTGTACTGTACAAACCAGACCTTCAAAATTTATACAAGTAGGGCATTATTTTAAAATGTTAACAATAGGCTTTTTAATGATACCAACTATAAAGATAAACCTGCTTTCACAAGATGTATAATGTATAAGTAAACACACAAAAAGGCATTTATTGTGATAGGGAATATAATTTATGTTTGATAATAACTGCATGTCATGTTTTTTTGATAAATGTAGTACTTCCTGGGAGAAATCTCAATTATTTAAACATATTTGTGGCTTACATCCAGTAAATAAGATAAATTGATCGATCTGTATTTGACGTGGTTGTGACTGTGCCATGGACCAGTGATGGCCTGGTGGTAGAGTCGCTGCCCAGCAAGCAGTAGATGGCAGGTTCAAGTCCCGCTGGTTCCAAGATTTTGTCTGTCTTGTTTTTCAATTACAGATCAATCAATCGATCTTATTTACTGGGTGTAAAACAAATATGTTTAAATAATGTCATATATTGTTGAGTCGTTGTTTAGACACGAGTGTCTTTGGAGTTGTACAGGCTGGTCTGCAACATGGTAGTGTTGTATCTCCTGCAATGTAGTTGTAGGATAGACTTCACATCTGGTGGTGCAAGTTTTTCTCTACAGTAGCATCTTGGTCTTGGGCCGAATATCGATAATGTTCCTGGCAACCAGTACCATCTTCATTGTTGTGTGATGAGTTGCCTCCTCTACAACATATGTCAAAGGTCGGGCATCTTTATCTGCCAGGTCAAAGGTTGTAGGTGATATCCGGTACTCTGTAGGTGAGTTGTCTAGAATGCAGTGCTACGGCTGGTTGAAGGGGACCAAATCCGCATTTACTTCACGATTTGGTTCCCGTTTACCAGCTAAAGCGCTACATTTTCTGGAGAGACGAGGCGGGTCGCAGGCGGGTGCTACGGATCCCGGGAAAGTGGCTCGATCCGCTCCAGGATGGTTCCATTCGGAAAGAAGCAGTTAAATATTCTGCTTCTTACACAGTGGCTTTCGTTGCTCTCCTAGCAGGATCAGTGCTCTGCGGTTCCCATGACAACAATTTGATTGTGAGATTGTTTCACTACGACTCTAATTTGGAGTGACGTCATTATGTGCATCATGCATTTTCTCTAAAAAATAGTGCATCTTAAACCGTTAAGAATACTCTGTAAGTTTCGCCAATCATTCACTTGTCTTCGAATTAACAAGTTAAGAAATGAGTGTCGATCGTCAGAGCTGAATAAATAGCAAGGATGAATTGGAAAACACAAATAGTCAATATGATAATTCAAAAAATTTACCAATTAAACAACATGCAAGGCTTAAATGTGATGCAGTAAAGACAACAGAAAAACAAAAGGATAAATTAAGACAAGATGAGAATCCATACATTAATTTTTTACAGCAAGTTGACTAAGATATTCACTTTACACATCAAAATGGATGATGTTAATTATGAATACAGTAAATGGAAGTTGTAGAAAAAGCATAACCTCTATGTGATTGCCACATACAAACATGCATATGTGTCTATGAAATATGTGCCTTCAGTACTGGAGTGAATGAGTGATAAGCAATGCAGTTTATATACCTGCTTGCTCTACGCCACGAGGAAGGAAGCAACCCCCCCCCCCTCTTGATTTGTGCGTGGGCGAGGGTAGGCGACCGACTGCAGTCAGGACAACGTAAGGCAGCCATCCAGCCCAGAGACCTGAGGATCTCTTTGAATTTGCATGATATCCAGGCCAAATTGTGACGCACGAGTCGTCTTCATTCTCTCTCAAAGTCTGGCGCTTTTCCTATTAACTCCTACATTGCCAGCAGCCCTATTGTACACCCGATACGCCAAGTATCTGTTCCTTCTCGGAATGGAATGGATTAAAACTTCCTACGCACAAAGCTCACATCTTTCTTCTTTCCTTTAATTCCTTCTTTTTTGCTCTCTATGTGTGAGGGTGACCTGTTAATTCTTTGCATGCCATATGCATTAGGCATCATCTGATACTCCATGTAATTGATTATTTCACGGCATAGAAAGGGTTAAATTTCTGGGAACATATAATTCCTTCATTTCTAATGCAAATTATGTGATGCATGGATTCCATGGATTCATTAAGTCAAGTCGACCAAAAGTAAGTTTAATTTAAAAACATATATTGATAGTAATAATGATGAAGATAAAGTGTTCTTGTATAGCCCATCATGAATATGATATAACATCCCTTTGGATGATCTGTTAAGCTCCAAAAGGGTGTTAACTCTGTGATAAAGTTTATGAGTTAATACCGTTCTTGCTCCAAACAGACATTATGAGCCAAGTTTAGCTCCAAAAGTTAGGGTGGGTATGTACAGCCCATGTAAGAGAGTGTCATGAATAAAGAGTGTAATCCTATAAATCTATGGGATAACAGCACATTATCGACTCCTCAAAAGGCATTTATTACTCATTATAATGTCTCTTTTTTTCTTCTCAATTTTTTCAGAAATATAAGTATTTTCTTTAAATGCAAATGTCTTACATAACTGTCTTTTAATTCAGCCGCAGAATGTAAGTAAAAATTTCTTATAATGAAACAAGTATTGCATGAACGGCTTTTATTGGTACACTGAATTAGTGCTGAAAGTAACTTAATTTTCGTTAAAAATGAAACATTTTCAGAATGGAGCTGATTGATTTATGCATTCATGGAATGCCAGTATAGTCTTTCTTGTTCCTAACCGCTCAGTGTGACGTAATTCCTGAAATAAAATTTCGATCTGAAAATTTAATTTAGTGCAAACAAGATTCAGGGCTCTAGGGTTCTGACAAATACAAATGTTACAGCTGCAAGGAGGATAGAAATATATAGTTTTTCAACCTTTTTTTTGTTCTTTTCTCTTTACCTGGTACTTCCTAATTTTTCTATTCTCAATCTGTTTCTGAGTAATTTATTCCTTCCCTTTTTTATTACTATATCTAAGGTCAAACTTGTCTTATGAAAACTAATTGGCATCTCTCTTTCTCTCTATCTCTCTACTTATATGTGTTCGTAATTTTTTTTAATTTTTAGCAAGAATATATTGAAAGAGGGATTCACACTGATTTTTATAGATATGGAGTAAGACAGAGAGAAAGAGACAGAGAGAGAGAAAGAAAGAGAAAGGGAGGATGAGGATAGAAAAAGTATAGAGAACACCGAAAGAGATAGGCTTATAATTAAAGAACGATAAGTCTTATTAAAGGCGCAGTATAGGTGTAAACATGAAAAGAAAATGAAAGAAATGAAGGGAAGGTAAAAATACAACAGAAACAATTAGATTTATTAAAGAAGAGAAGAAAAAGAAAAGAATCTAAAGAAAAAAGCAGAGAGAGGGAGAGATAAAGAGAAAATCAGACAGACATAGAGAGAGAGATGGAGAGAGTTTTATAGCTAAGGTACATGTAATCAGTAAGTGTTCATTCCCTCTCTCTCTCATTCCCTCTCTCTCGTTCTGTCTCTCCTTTTCTCATTCTCACTCTCCTAGTAGAAGCATTGCATTGCCATGTCTTCCATTACACCACCCATATTGAATGAGCCAAGCTCGACTCTTTTCTTTCCAACATAATTTTCATTAAATTATCCAGGAGCGATTGACGTCAAAAGGTATCAAAGGCATTAAATTGTACCTTTTTCTTAGGATAAGACGCGGAAGGGTGGAAATAGGCAAATCAAGTTGCCGGAGGTGGGGAGAGGGGGTGGTCTGTAAAGTCTGTTACCCGTGTGATACGTTGATTTATGAATAAAATCAATAACTTGAGAACATTTGTCTTGCTTCCGATGCCCACATTTTTTATGAATGAATGAAGTCAGGGTTTAATGCATTTGGGAAAGCGTGAGTGACGTACTTCCACTATGAATGGCAATGACTCACAAATTGGAAGTTTGGAAGGAATTGAGAGGAAGTGATTAGATTTCCGTAGAATGATATCAGAATTAAATAAGCAAGTTTCCTATAATATGGTACGTAGTAGTATTCCTAGTAATCATACTTCAATTATTAGCATGCACGTGTACCTGTCTCCTGTGCATGCAGCGTGTGTATGGGAACCGGCTGGCTGGCTGTGTGTGATTGCGGAGAGAAAAACATCAGCCGGGGTTGGTTCGTAAGAATCATAGTAGAGTGGGAATGATGGGAAAGAAGCAACATGGCTTGTTGAGTTATGACGTCAATCTGAAGGTGCTCAGGGATTGGGGTCGCTCTGGTCGTGTGTGTGGGAAGCGGAGAGAGCGAGAGAGAGAGAGAGATAGAGAGATAGAGAGGGAAAAGGGATAGTACCTGCTAATAGTGTGTGTGCTGTGTGTCATGCTGCAGTCGAAGTGTGGTGCATGAGAGTGTGTGAGATGGCTCGGCAGAGAGATAGAGATAGAGACAGAGGCAGGGAAAGAGACGAGCGTAGAGAAAGAAAGAGAGGGAGAAAGGAAGAAGGAATAATTATGAATATGTATCCATAGATACACAGTGAAAGAGAAAGCTAAAAGACGAATGATAATAAATGCTATATGCTTTTGCTCATGAGTGTGTACTGAATGTAATGTGAGAGTTAGAGAGGTAGATAAGGAAAGGAATAACAAGGTTTTGTTTCTTATTATTAACAGTGAGACATATAGAGCAAAAGAAAGAGAGATTTAAATATTGATGTAAACATAATTATAAAAGTATTGGTGTACAGTATTCACTGAGAACAGCAGTAGAAAAATAAAATTGCAAATGCAAGAGGGAAATTTTATCAAAATCTTTTTTATCCCTTGCATTTTTCTACATTACTTTATTTATTTATTCATTTATTCCGTTTTATTTAACTGCAAATAAGAAAGAAAAGTAATAATGTTTGTATTCTTAAATGATAGAGTTGAGAGCTTAAATATAGTGAGCAAATGCAAATATGAGTTTTCCTTCAGATGTAATATACTTTCTAGCAGGGTTGTAATATTTTTAAATTGTTTTTCATGTTAAAGCTGCAAATATTCTGCCTTTAATTAATAACTGAATAACTTTGGTCATTTTTGTTCAAGTGCAAAATATTACCAGAGCTCCAATAGAGCTTTCCTTCATCTCTTTACAAGACAGAGCTACACTTCTGTTCTACAATTTCTTCCAAAATCCGTGAAAGATATGTATATCTTTTTGCCTAATCTCACATACAAAAGGTTCATTTGGTTTGGTTCAGGCTTCGTCTTCAGGATTTTATTTAAATTATTTCCCACTTTTGCTAGACATATAAATGACATTTACATGACATATACATGTAAGGAGAGATAGAAATATATGGTGGTCAAATAGAATTTAGATGAAAATTGTTTTTAGGGCTATATTTTCCCTTTATTGAAAGCCAGTTTGAACTTATTGTTTTATTGTTCTTTGTTTTGTTTGTATCGCAGTCCCTTGATAGAAATCATGCTCTAATTTTATCATTCATCATTATTTGGGGGATTTTTTAATTTTCTAGATATTTTAATTTTATTTAGGGGCACTTTTTCTCTCCATTACAAGTCTCCATATATTTGTTATATTTTAGAGGCAATAATAATATTAGTAACAAAAGAAGCAGCTCAGTAGAATTAAATGAGATATAAACAAAGTTTGAATTTAAGATAATATGGATAAGTTTGATAAGAAAACCTTAATTGTCATGATAAGAATGTGCTCCGGGCCCCCTCCATTGAGAGCCAGAACTGCATTAAATCTGTGTTAAAGTAAAGGAGCTAATGCCTTTCTTTGCTGGAAAGAGACGATATATATAAAAACCTCACAAACATCATAACTATAGGCTAAAATGCACCAAGAAGAATAATAAGATGGGAAAGAAAAGGGAAAACTTCCAGGGCCCCCTTAAACCTCAATCAAGCGATTCAGGTAGAAGTTAGTCAAGTTGG